CTTACAAATCACTGCTCTCTTCATAGGCATATTACAAAATGAAAATAGAAGCTATGGTGGCAATAGTCCAGATGGCAAACAAAGTGTGATGCTACCTGCAGGGCATAATTTTTTTTCTTTTCCTCCCTCAGTATTGATATGCCCCTGCAGTCCTACTCAGTTAGGTGGGGAACCACTTATCTTCACAAACAGAAAAGAACAATCTTTCTATTTCCAGATGAGAATATGAAAACAATACTATGTACAAAAAGAAAGCTTAAGGTTAGACATAACTTTATTAGGTTAGCGTCAAATTATAATAGCCAAGTTAAATACTTTCTATTACTTTACATGAATAAATGTTCATGCCTGAACAAAGTAAATTCAGGCATCAGATATTCCTGAACATTAAGTTGCGCATTCTCCCTACTTCCATATGACAGACTACACACAAACACATACTTTTCTAATACATCATTAAAAAAATTCTTCCTACTGAAACACACTATGGAAGAGGAAAATAGTATGACCAAGCACAGGAAGATGTAATTTTGTAAGTCAGTAATGCTAGCTGAACCACTCTGTAGATAAGGCCCATGAATTTGCCTACATTTCCTTATGAACAAGTTTATTAGAGGGATGCAGGAAAGCATCAGCACCGAATACATTTATAGTGACAAGTTACGCAGCACACCTCAAAAAACAGAAGTGAAAAAAAAAAAAATCACGTGTGATCAAGCATTTTGCCTGCCAATTTATCTCTCATTGTTTCTATTTGTTCCATCTTTGGAAGATGGTAAGAGATGATTATAGTCTGCTTTTTATATTACCCCTACTACACATCTCATTTTTTGACCCTATATGCAAAATGTCTTCATCAAAAGTAGTAAGCATAATATATAAGGGATAAAGATAGGAAGAGATAAAGATACTTCACTTCTCCCGTGTAAGCTTAATGTTCAGCTACCTAGCAGAAACTGGTTCACAGACACTTGAGTTTCTCAAGTATTTGAACTGGCTAAGTGATATAGACAGCCTTATTTTAGCTGGGTTCTTTAGTACTTTCCCTGATAACACTAGGAAACAAATGTCTGAGAGCTGGGCACCGCAGAAATCATCCAATACCAAAACTTGCACAAACATCTAACCACATCCTGCATCCACCACAGCTTCCAAGACACAACATTTTTGCTGTACTACACAGCAGCAGTCAAATCAACCATGAGAAACCAGGCACCTTCGTCGCAGCAGCCCACCAAAGGCATACAGTAGCACCATGTGAAACAAAGATTTAGGCAGGAAAGCTGCAAAGCTTATGAAACACTTTAACTTGCCTTATTAAAGCCAGTTCTCAGCACACACACATTGTGTGTGTGCACGCGCACAGTGATCCACCTCTAATTTATACGCCTCTGCCAGAAGAGAGGATCTAGTTACTAATTAGCCAAACACTTTCACCATTAGGAACACAATCCTGTTCTTTTACAGCATCCTTCTGTCAGTAAAAAGAAAGCTATATTTCTTTTAACAGACTGCACGTACATAGCTGGACTGCACCCTGTTCTTTTGCAGGCTTCTGTAAAGGTTACGTATGAATTTCAAGAAAGAAAACAGTAAAGAGCTTACATTTTCTAAAAATGGAAATAGCAGAAGTACTCCTTCTGCAGTGCTAAAAATCCCATTTCACGGGAATCGGTGGTTTCCCGAATACCAACTGTGACAGTGTTATGGCTGAAAGATAGTACCTGAGTTTCACATACGGATAAAGAAATTCAAGGCGTTGCCACACGCTGGACAGGCAGACAAGTCCGGACACGGGGGCGGCTGCACCCCTCGGGGGCAGGGGAGCACTGCCACAGGACGCAGACATGTTTTCACCTGTTCCACCGAGGGGGGACGCTGCTGACCCCACAACCAGAGCCGTACGTGCTCCTTATCCACAGATCGCAGCGTTTCCTCATATAAAATACAATCTTTTACGCTCATTAAGTCTGCGCAACACTCGGCCAACTCGGAGACCCCTTTTAACAACACTGCTGTCTTTTCCCGTAAGTTTCCCGTCACACCGGCAAGCGCGGGAGGCCGAGAAACAGACTCCCGATGAATTAACTGTTTGCTCCGGACCGCTTCCCTCAGCAAAGCCGACTTTCTTACCAAAACTCTGCCGTGCGGCGCCGCCGGGAGGGGGACCCCCAGGGAAAGCGCCTCCTCCCGCCCCGCCAGGGAAGGGGGGCGGGAGCGCTAACTGAAATGGGGCGAAAAGCTGATCAAGGGAGGAAACCCCCGGGACGAAGCTGTGAGGGACGCGGCGGTCGCCTGAGGCGGGGGAAGGAGGCGACGGTTGGGGCGGAGGTACGTGACTGTTGGGGACAGGTGGGGTGGGGGGACAGGGCGCGGCACCCCCGGGGAAAGCGGGCAAGGAGAGCGAGGGCAGCCGAGAGGAGGGACCCAGCGGGACAGGGAGGGGACGTGAGGCCACCGTGGCCCCGTCACCCACCGAAGAGGCTGGTGCTGAAGCCCATTTTTTACGCAACCAGCGGCGTCCCACACCCAGCGGCTCCTCAGGCAGGACATGAAGGTAAGGCTCACGCCGAAGACGGACACCAGCATGTCGCTGAGGCTGATGTTTACGAGGAAGAGGTTGGTGGGCGTGCGGAGCCGCTTGAACTTGTAGTAGAGCACCAGCACCAGCAAGTTGTTGCACAAGCCTAGCATGCCGATGGTGGCGACAAGCAGCGCCAGCAGCTCGTAGGTGCCGGCGCTGAAGAGGGGCCGCTCGCCCGGCACCTCCTGCTCCGCCGCCGTGGGCTCCGGGCAGCTCGTCGTGCCCGTGCTGTTCCCCGAGGGCATGGCTCACAGCACGCCGGGGCCCAGCCGGAGCGGGACTAAGCTTCTCCGACCGCTCCCAGCCCCATCGCAGACTGCTAATGAGGGCAGGAGAAGGAGGAGCCCCCTCCGCCTTCCCGCCCACGGAGGGCGCGCCCTCGGGTGGCTTCGCCCTTGCCTGCCCTAGGGTGGGCCCGGGGCAGGGCCCGGGCCCTGCCGGGCGGTCAGGGCGTTGCTCACGGCGGCATAAACCCTGCGAGCGCGTTCTTGCCGCTACACAAGGCCTGTGTGGGTGCCGCATGGCTCCTTCTCAATAAATACCTCACCTCGGCCTCTCACTTGCTGCGGTGAGCAGCCTGGTCATGACTGGGATGCAGCTGTCTCCTCCTCTTCATTAAAATCTTCCTTGTGTTTTGGCTCGGTACGGCTGCCTTCAGCAGCGATTCCCTCTGGGGAGCCGCGTTCGGGCAGGCCACCTCAGCACCCTGCTTGGGGAAGAGGTAGAACCTGCTGAACCAATATTTAGAATTCTTCTCCAGATATCCTGCCAATGAAAACTCCTATTATGGAGATAGTTTCTTCTAAGGTGCTTCCCCACAGTGCTCAGAGGTGGCTCTAGTAGTTGCATCCTCACAAAACGACCAGCAGCATCATGGCCCAGGCAAACTTGTGGTGCAAGTGAACAACTTTTTGTCAGCCACGGAGCAAGTAAGGTACCAAAGTTCACACTATGAAGTCACCTATTTTTATACCTTTGTCTCCAGCGTGTGTTGTGTGAAAACAGTACAGGAATGCCCAAGCTGCCTGTGTACAGCTCTAGCTGGTTTTAGTCAGGGTGTTGTACTGACCTCCAGCTGTGCTAAGGTAGCTGTGCTGTCTCCAAATCCAACCCGTCCCTGAATGTATCACAGTGATTTTTGCTCAACATGGCTTTGGGCCTAAAACACCTTGCCAGACCAAACACCACTCTTCCTCACAGGAAGACCTCTAGTTTGTTTGCTTTAACTAGCTGACCCACATATGTGCTGATGTGTGACAGCCTTCACAAGGGCCCAAATAAATCTTTCAGTTTAGATCTATTCTTAGTTCAGATGAGAAAAATAAAAATAAAATTAAATATGTCAGCTGTGGAAGCAACAGAATTTTCATGGAAATGTGTCTTGGCAAACAATACCTTGGGTTTTTTTCCCTCTCTTATACACAGTGGTTTTAAAAGGGCTAGACTGAGGGTGTGATTCCTTGTGGACTGAGACTGAAAACATGGGTAGTTGAGGTAGGTTTGATGTCTTTCAAAACGCATATCTATATACAAATTATGGGCTTGTTATGGCAATTTTATATGACAAACTACTGCTGTTAACGCAAGGGTTAGGAATAGAGAAAGTCATGGATAAGAAAAATAAAACAGATTAAAGTAACTATTCTTATCAATGTTAACTTTATTTACAAGCTATGTTTTCAAATCCATCAAATATGATTTAATCGATAACTGAAAACTACTTTAAAAAGCTAGTTCAGTCTGTTTCTTCATCACTGGTCTTCTGTTTTTTTCTTATTACAAAGGCAGCAGGAGCAGCTGCCTTTCTCAAATCAATTATATTTTTCCCCCTAAAAGCTGGATTAATAGGGTACATGACCTTCCAAAATTTCTAGTAACAGACCACTAGTACTTCAGCATGGGCTTTAGGGAAGGCATAATTTTTTAGCTTTCCTTGCCCATAAAAGAGGTTTACCTATGTATGACAGACCGTGTGCAAAAATGTTATGTCAATACACAGTCATGGGTTGGTTTAGGACCAGTTGCTGCGTGATGAAAGTCTAACAATAAGACATGGCTGGGCCAAATTAATGGTATACCTCATTGAGAAGAAGACATCTCTGTCTTCTGCCTTTAAAGGAAAATCTTAAATTGTGTACCTTTTTTATCCCTTCAAAATGAAAGAAGCGAAAAGCTGGTAAGGAGGAGCAGAGGAGAAATGTAATTTAGTGAGTAGTACATGTTAGACAACATACTGTCCATTGGCAGATTCCATTATATACTTAGGGTTTCTAAGTAGTTTTTCACTACAGCACCTGTCAAAAATACTCTCTCTAGATGTCTTTTGGATTTCTAGAAAATAAGAGAAAGAGAGTCCATAAATTACATTTTACAAAGATCTTATCTCAGAATTCCTGGTTTGGGATTTTTCATAACAAAATTAAATAGATACATAAATATGCAGTGTCTTCAATGCTTGATTTGATAGTGGTCACATTATTAATATTGTTAAATTGCTAACATTATTCAAGTGATCTTGAATACTTCATGGGCAGAGTTCCATTTGTCTTCCATGCAGTGTCACTATTCATGAGAGACACAACAAAAAGAAATGCTGTGTTATTGTATCATCAGGTCAAAGGCAAAGCTGGAAACAGAACCCTGACTCCTAATTCTAGTCCAGTACTTGTTTTACCTAACACAGTCTAGAGCCAATGCAGCTATGGTTTTGATAATCTAATTAATTCATTAGCCAATCCTTTTCTAACTTTCATGCAATTAAAAAGCTGAAACATTTAAGAAACCCAGATGTCTGCTTTGCAATGCTTCATCTTTGCACTATTTTATTTTGGGACCAGACCCTGCTCATCAAACATGCATGCATATTAATGGAAATGCTGCAAGAAGGATTTTACCTTTGCTTTTATAGTTGCATGAAAGGAGAAACCACAACCCAGTATTTGCATTTCTGGAAGTGTATGTGTGTGGCTTACTGGAAGTGTATCTCAACTCAAAGTACTAAATATATATGTAGCTGAGCTCATGGGATTAAAACAGTAGAACAAGAAGCTGGAACACAAGGTCCCCAGTCCTGTATGATAAAAACAGTCCTTGAAACTCCCTAGGACTTCCTAGATCACTTCTGCACCAGACCTTTTAATATATTGTCTGTTATGCACAATTTACATGGGATGGAAGAATGCATTGGTTGTAAATTCTCAGGTGGCCAACAGGTGTGTGTGTGTAGATATATGCTTACATATGTATAAGAAAAAACTTAAACCCCAGCTATGGAAATAATAATGCACAACTGGAAAGTCTGCAGATGTCTGGGACTGTCTTCAGAGTTTCCCTGCCTTTGCTGTATTTAGTAATTTGAAATGTTTCAGGACATCAGAGCATCGAGTGTCACTCACATGTTAGAGCTGAGGAAGCTGAAGCAGAGTAAATAAAGTGCCAAAGTCTCTGCTACTCTCTAACCTTGTGTAGAAATACAAACCACAAACCATGACTCCCAGTTCGAACTACACCATCAAAAATGTGAGGGCTTTTGAAGTGAGAACATTGTGGGGTGGAAGAAAAGTGTTTTAAGGCATTTAAGAGACCTATTTCATTTCCCGTTTGTTCAGTCATATGTAGTTCTCACTCATTTTCTCTCTTCTTTCTTCTTTATCTTCTGCTAGCATGCCTTTCAAGTCACAGGCTCTTTCCCATCTTTCCTGACAAGCAGAAAGTGTACAGAAAAGAAAAGAGAAGCTTTTGTCCGTACTCAATACATTTGTTTCAGGAATCAGATGATGATGGGGTTTTGCTTCCTGTTTGGAACTTTGTAAAACTTATTATTTCAAAAGGCATCGTAGACAGCCAGACTGCAGTCCTCTGAAAGAAAAAAAAAACAAAACCCCAAAAAAACTCTGGCTACCTGGCTTTAGCTTTTTAATTTGGATTTTTACAGCCTTCTCCTGGCATTTATTTTCTTACATGTTCTCTTTGCTATTCTTTAGCCTCAAAGGCAGATGAAAGCCAACTGATTATTCACTGTATCTATATATAGCTGCAGTGTATATCTATAGAGCAAGGGAGAGTTTACGGACAGAAGAAACCTTTCATCTTTTCCCAATGACTTGGCATTAAAACAAGGCTTTTAATATAGATCTACATCTGTTGATAATGCAATATGTAGGAAAAAAAAAGCACAAGTCTACTGGCAAAAGTTCAAAATTAGGGCTTGATCTTGCAGAATTTGTAATCCTAGCTATATAATCTAGTCCATATTGGGATGTGAACTTTAAATCATAAAGCAGGCTAAGTGGAAGAGCTGCAAGAATCTGAGAATATTCTGGACTGAGAAAAGTATTTGGCTCAAACACGGTTCACTGAAGCAAGCACAAGTGTTTGCAGCAGGGAGGGGACCCAAATGGACAGTCCTGGGAGGTGACGAGATGCTGTCAGAACATCTGTGCTACAGTTGGAAGTTTGCTGCAGCATGTACCATGACATCTGAGCTCTAGTATACCTGGCAGGTGTACAAACAGCTGTACTAGCCAGAGGTGTGATTCATCTCACCTAAATAACGTATATAAAAATTAAGCATCTAAGACCAGTAAGATGAATCACTCTCTGAAAGTGTTTATTATTATTGACTGGCATATAATGTGACTTGAACAATTAACTTTTAGATGCCTAAGTTAGCTGAGATGAACTTCATCTTGGCTATACAAACCTGTGTGGGACTGTGGTACATGCTCAGGTGGCAGATGCATATTGATGCCTCTGTGGCACCTGTTTCTTGCTAAGTAGATTAAAACAAGTGGTGATATATACGTGTACCTGCTGACATCATACCTCCCTTGGATGTATAAACAGCTCTTAGGGCAGCTTGAACCCTAAACACTAACATTGTAAAACCAATGTAAGACCAGTAACACCAGGTTTTGCAACAATAATCCTGTGAAATTCAGTTGTGATATAAACTGTTTATTTTAAAGGAAAAACCTTCCATAGGAGTTCATCCCTATGCTGCAGCTTCTTGTTAGTGTGACAAACATGAAGTGAGAGTGATTACAGACTCACTGTCCTGTTTTCATTTTCCAGACTCCAACATACAAATCAATAAATAGTGCATAGGAAATATAATTTTAAAAATTATCACTTGGTCATTTCAGCTGTTGTTAGTGACACAGAAGAGCAAATGCACTTTATAGCAAGGAGTGTGATACTGCTTCTGGGGTGATAATATGGCAAAAGCAAAGTGAAGAATTAAGTC